CAGATGCCCTCATTAGATTCCCTAACCGCACTTCTTAGTGGCGCTGCAGCGGTGGTCAATATCAACGCGCTGTCAGATGCCCTCATTAGATTCCCTAACCGCACTTCTTAGTGGCGCTGCAGCGGTGGTCGATATCAACGCGTTGCCAGATGCCCAGCAGCAGCAGCAAGTCGAATACTCCGGCTCAGGAGCAAAACCCTACAATGAGGACACTCGATTAAAGTCTCGCGAAGTATTTAAAGGATATGCCAGCCAGCTGGACTACGAGGATCTTCTTAGGTGGGCTTCAACCGCATTAGCAATCCATGACTGGCTTGATTTATTCATAGCTACCAAACAATTGCTCACTTGTCATCTTCGGGTTGTCGATGCCGGTTGATACTCACTGCCTGATCTTTTTCGCTTGCCGCATCCTCATTTGCAGCTTGAATACTCGTGTTCAACTCACTCCACTTCATGCCCATGTGTTATGTGATTGTGCAGCGTTGTCCCAGTACATCACTGGTTCCTCTGTCATCTCACGCATACATGTTTCTGTCCCAATACGTCACTGGTTCCTCCGTCATCCCGCACATACATGTTTCTGTCCTGATCGATGGCATGCCGTGCCTCTATTAAAACATAATGTTGCATTAGAGGATGCCCTAACAATGGGTGGTTGGCACATGCGGTGCAGGGCATACGAGCCATGGGAATTGGAAGATGGGAATTGACGGAAATAGCGCCATTCGATTCTCTGAACACTGTGCAAGGATGCCATTGAATCCTCTTCGCAGCATCAAGTTGCCCCCGTAGCTCAGTGGTAGAGCAATCGCACAAGCGACATAATAGGTCACAGGTCCGATTTCTGTCGGGGCCATTTTCTCCTGGCATTTGAAAGGATCGACCTGACATGTGCAGTGGATTTGTTACTACCATTTATGAAATCTATCGACTGCCGTGAATCGCCAATGCTGCCCTGTATACCCCGTTTGCGCCAGGAGAAGCGTCGAGTATTAAGTCGCGATCCGTGTCTACTACTTGAGTTTGGTATACGCAGTAAGTGCATCATGGCAAGTCAGGGTTGATGTTTAATTGCAGGAAATAGTGTCTCCATCGGCGGGAGAGGAAGCTTTAAGTCCGTTTGAAGGCACCATTGCTCATAATCTTCCTCATGGACGTACGATATTTTCAATATGCTGTGACGTTGCTGTCACGACTAGTTGGGTGGCATAAGTTCCTCATTGAGTCACATGTTTCCGCAGCGCAATAGTGTGTGTACTCGTTGTACTGATATGTGTGACTTGCCCAACATCTGACATCATGTATGCTAGCCGTGTCTGCATGCCTAATTTCAGTTTATTAGTTGGTGTCGTAACCGCTCGCTGACCGGTCGTCCAGATTATTGTCGAGTATTTCACCCAATGAACCAACAGAGTTGTGCACCTCAGTCTCAATATGGCGGGGCTTAGCGACCCGATGTGCCACCAGGGTTTCGCATCTCAGTCTCAATCGGGTGGAGCTCAACGACCCTATGAACCACCAGGGTTGTGTACCTCGGCAGTCTCAATCCAGTGAAGCTTGACGATCCTGTGAGCAACCAGGGTTGTGCACCTCAGTCTCAGTCCGGTGGGGTTTAGCGACCCGATGAGCCAGCAGGGTTGTGCATATCCGTCTCTGTCCGATACGGCTCAGCAACCAGATGATTCAGCAGGGTTGTGCATCTCAGTCTCAGATCGGATGAGACTTTCGTAGTAGGAGGCATGGGTTCTCCGTCTGCACGTGGACTGCAGTGGACACGAAGCTAGAGTCGGTTCCTCCTTGAAACCCGCCTGGCATATGTGACCCAAGAGCTGATTTAAAAATATATTGGCATGGCATGAGAATGCTTGTTAGCATCGGTGACGGGTAGGTAGATAATGGGCTCCGTCTCGTGCCTGGCAATGGTTGCTCTTGCCACCCGTACTACCGAACTATGACTAGTGTCATTCCTGGAACCTAAACCCCGAATACAGCTTATATCTAGATTTTTGTACTCTTTTAATTAATTTATTCGAGTTCAGAAACCGTTCCGTATTTTTTAAAATATCGTTTCGGTTATTTAACTGGTTTGGACCACCACTTCATCCGAGGGTGGGGAATTGTTTTTTTTTTGTGATCTAGCCAGGAGTGGCTAAAGCGCGACGCTTGATGGGCTGAGCGCCAAAAAGACGAGCTCGGAATTTGAGGATGTATAGCATATAATTTAGCGGAATATACTCGGACAGTATATTTTAGAGTGGGTCTGATACACAATTGACTTCGGATGCGGTAATAGATTACCCGTACGGTGACCTCGAAACGCCGAGCTGTAAGTGCCAGCGGTGACACTTGACACCCAAACTTAGAACAGCTTAAGAAATCTGCTTGGGGCATACACCTGGACTCCCAGGAGGGTTGCCAGGGTAGATTCTAAGACACCACCTTTGTACTATCAGAGGGGGTGCGATGTTACAGCCTAACACTGTGCTAACACTTCTAAGACTGTGCTATTCTGAGTGGAATGACGGTCGCAGTGTGGCGATACCACACGTGCAATGAAAATGCCTAAGCCACAGAGCAGCTAACCCGAAAAAGATTAAGGCAACCAAATAACAGATTTGTAGTCATCCGTGTTGGCAAAGAGAAACCGGACTTCCGCCGGGTCCCAGTTAAGCCAGAAGAGACACTAAGATGCTCCGCTAGTGACCCCCGCTCTCCTGAAACTGCGGCGGACGCGGCCGTCCTGCGTCCACGATGCGATGGCTACAACTCGCATGAATCTCAGCTACGCGACGCTCATGCGTGCGACTCCGAACCGCATCTCAGGTAGAGCGCGGGGTAGCTGGGGACTCCATGGACCTTCCCGTAGACGGGTGCCAGGGGCGCGCATTCGTGGAGAAACGGGAGACTAGTCCCAACTCTCCACTAGAGAACTCACTCGAGTCGCTCGAATCGGTACTGCCTGCGGAACGGGTGAAGAATAATCGCGATTATTCGGTAACGTCCAAGATACAGTACGCCTATTCGTGCAATTATTCAGCATGATTTTCTCGATTGGCCGGACGACCTATGCCCAAACTGCTGAGATCTGCCAGGCAGCACTTACCGGTCGTACCGGTTACGATCTCTGACAGACTCGGTGTCAGTGACTGTGACGGGTGACTAGTTGTGACCGATCGGGTTTCAGTAGTAAGCATAGTGGTACAGTTCGCTGTCCGACTGCGTGGGCTTAGGTTTCAGTTTCGGTATTGTTATTCACAATTCATGCCCACCTAACGATCGTACCGATACAACTGTGTTCTGAGAGTTTTTCAACACCCCGCAGAGGGTATTCTACTGAGTTGTGGACCCATTCCACGCTAATTTTCCACTGGCTATGGCCATGATTGGCTAAAGACCGCCGCTTGAGGCGTTAGACGCAATGGGGCGCCCATGCCACGGCATTCCAGAGATGGGTTACGAACGAGTTTAAACGGCCGCGCAACGCTTTGGACAATTTATGGTAGCTATGATCGCCGATTGGGTTGGGCCTTTCTTCTGAAAAGTGGTTTTTGGGCACTTTTGGGGTGGAATAGTGACCAGTAGGGGCTCTGCCAAGGCTGTAGGAAGTTTTTAGGGGTTACTGTGGTGTCTTAGGGGCAGGTTTTGATGGCTTGCAAAATTAGTTGGTAAGCTTAAGTATGTAGAGGCGCATAATTTTTTAAAAGAGGATTTAAGAATATATAATAACTTATTTTTTCATATTTCGTATGAGAGTATCATATTCCAAATTGACTATTTTTTCAACTCTGAGATTTCGGGCAGTCGGGTGCCCACCCGAGGAAGAAACGTCTCTCCGAATCGTTCGTATGCGCGTTGAATGTGAAGTAGACAATAATTTATGAAATTGATTATTTTTTGTTATTCCGTATGAGAATATCATATTTCAGATTGACTATTTTTCCAACTCTGAGATTTCGGGCAGTTGGGTGCCCACCCGAGGTGGAAACGTCTCTCCGAATCTTTCGTATGCGCGTTAAATGTGAAGTAGACAATAATTTATGAAAACCGATTCGTTTTTGTTATTCTCATTGAGAATGTTATTTTCCAAATTGACTATTTTTTCAACTTCGAGTTTCTGGGCACGTGGGTGAGCATTAGAGGTAGTCTAAACGTATCGGGACGTTCTCCGAATGTTCCGAATGTGAACCGCGTCGGGGATGTATGCAATCGCTATATGTGCATATGGATTCCATACAAATATGATAATGCAAATTCTACAAAGAAACATATACATTTCTCCAACATGGAAATAACCGAGTGGTTTGTGATCTCCCGAAGAGATAAAGAGGTGCAAGAATGCATATGCGCACTCGAGAAAGCGAGTATAATAATTCATGTGATGTGAAGGTACATACAAAACATTATTGGAATCAAATCCGAGGTTATTGCTAAATATCAATAATACAAAAGATAAGGGGACATCTTGTCTATATCACTTTCATATCTATACCAACGCTAACAGGCGCTGATGGGTCCGATCCGATATGAAATATTCAGCACCCCGCCGAATTAAGGGCACCTCAGCCGCTATCACCGCCTCGCATGGAATAAGGCATTTCTTGAAGGTGTCCAAAACGTATGCGTCCCGTCCCCCCTCATCCTTCCATTCGAAGTATCGACCGGAGATCACCCAGGAGCCAGGGTCGTGTGTGACACCATAGTCATCCTCTTGCATTTCACAATCTACTTGCATGCTTGAGGCCAAGGCCTTGACCAAGTAGTAGGAATATGCGGCGTACCCTTCGACCCGCACCGCAAAAACGCTTCCCCGCCGCACCTCCAAACTCACCTCCGTCGCATACCGCTCCACTATCATGCGCACTTGCCTCGCTTCCGCTCCCGACGCCGCACGCAACTCCACCTCCCTCCAAGAGTCGACATGAGATTTCTCCAAGCACCGGGAGGAGTCCGGCACCGGGTGTGTGCATTGCGCATAGCAATGGGCGCAATAGCAAGAGCGGTCCCGAAATAGGAGGCGCCCTTCACCAACCCCCGCGCGAACGCTGTGCATACGCAGCGTGCCGTCAACAGACTGATACGCTTCACCCGTCCGGTCAACTGCGCGCATTCCCCCGGGCTCTTCGTGTAGGGGACTTTCGGGTACAAGATAGAAGTGCCGCGCATTGAAAGCGACCTTGCTCTTCATATAAGTAGTAGGTGCTGGACGGGAAAGTCGTGCAACACAGAACCGATGCAAATCCCCCGCGCAATTTATGTTCGCATAGAACTCGTCTCCCTCCGATATCACGGCCGTGGCCGCCGCGTGTTTCACATGTGCACCCGCCGCATCTTGTTCCCCTTTTGCGTGTGCCGTCTCAAAAAAGTTCCGTTTGACAAGGGACACCCAAGTACCACTCCGCCTTACTCTTCCCAACATCCGCGAAACCCGCCGCACACTTATTTTGCGCCCCACTACCATCAACCCACTCGTGCAAGAACACCGGTTTCGCCAAACCCCGGCCCACAAAGTAGTCCTCGATAATCGTTTTCCGCATGTACCGAACAAAGTGGTGGTCGTGCACACGGTCATCGCTCAAAAAGTAAAGATAGTCCTTGATTATCACCGGATTTTCGGAGGTGCTCTCCACTCTATCAACCTCCAAGGATGCGTGTCGCCATAGCACACACACCAAAATGGTTGCCTGCTTTAGCACCCAATGCATACTTTGTGCCGCGCGGGGAATGGTCAACTTGTGATTCTCCGAAAAGTCAAAGACAACACAACAATGACCCAACGGTAGATTATCCACACACTGTCGATAGTGCCGGTGTTGGTGCAGCGCCATGAAAGTATGGTAGGCATAATGGCGAAGGAAG